CCACTGTAACTTGCTGTAGAAAAAGTAGGATAAAATTGAGCAAGAAATGCTTCCCAATGGTTATTAGGACTGGAATTGCTATTTTCAACAGCCATTGCCTTTTTTGTTTGTTTGTTTGTTTGTTTGTTTGTTTGTTTAAAAGGAAGACAGTGATATTGCATTGGCAAATTCTCCATAGAAGGAAAGAGAGGAACAAAAGAATAATAAAGGCACCTCAACTTTTCTTCATTTCTGTAGGACAGTCTTATAATATGCATCCAGATATCCTCCAGTCACACAAACTGAAAATTGTTCCACTTTACTGCAGTTTTGTAACCATATGGGAACCAATCCTGTCTGTGTTCTGTGCACATCTAAAATTCCTGCTGAATGACCTGCCGTGGGAGCGAGTTACCAGTGACCCAGGGCTGCGGCGGAAGGAGGGTGCAGGTGGGGGGGTGGAGGGGAAGAGAGCCCAGGGCTGGGGTGGCAGCAGATGTGTGTGTGGGGGAATGTCTTTTTGTTTTTTCTTGTTCTTAGAAAATAGTCCATTGTTCCTAGTGATACAGTGATTAAAATGCAGTTATCTTTCAGACACTGTGCTGGATATATCCCCTAACAAACTGACTCCACGGGAGAAACATCTTTGCCTAATAGATGTTGGCTATTTCATTAACACCAGTTGCCCACCGCTTCTCAAGCCAGAGAGGAACGTGGATGTCATCATCTCACTTGATTACTCGATGGGCAATATGTTCCAGGTGAGACGATTCAAATTCACTATTGCTTGTAGCACTGATGGCACCTTTCCTACAAGGCTTGCCTGCCATTTTTATTTTGTTTTTAACAGTACAGTTATAATAGGATTTGGACTCAGTAGTCTGAAGTCCACTATCACAGTGGTACAAAAGAGGAGTAACTCCTGATGTCAGAAAATTAATACCCATGTAGAACTGTTATAAGAGTTGCTGAATTAGGTCCAATATCTTTTGCCACCAAACTAAACAGTGTTTAGTTAATTACCACCAAGAGGCTCCCATTATTTTCCCCTTCATGGGAGAGCAAACTAGTCAGAATGGCCAAAACACCAGTAAAAATGCACAGAAAAGGTACAATGTTCCAACAAAGCCTATCTCCAATTTACATCAAGATCCTCCCCTGCATACATGGTTTCATGAAAAAATGAGGTTATCTATTATGTTTTACATCTTTAATAGGAGGGTGAGGAGAATTAGCCTGCTTTTTCCTTCCATTTTGACAGTGAGTGGCTCCATATGTATGGCACAATCATTTCCATATTGGATTAGTGCACAGTGAATTGCTTAGAGTTACATATATAGACCGCTGGAAAATTCAGTCATTCCAGAGTGTAGTAGCTCAGATATTTAGTGTTCCTTGCAAGGAGTGTAGTAAATCTTTACTCCACAGACTGCACTAGGTTCTAGTTCAGGGGTGGGCAAACTACAGCCCGCGGCCCCAATCCGGCCCGCGAGCCGTTTTAAGCCAGCCCGAGAGCTCCTGCTGGGGAGCAGGGTTGTGGGGCTTGTCCTGCTCTGGCACTCCAGTTGGGGCGCTGGGTTGGGGGCCGCACCACGTGGCTTGGCATCGCTCCGGCACTGGGTTGGGGGCAGCACCACTCCCGGAAGCTGCGTCGTGGCGCTCCAATGGGAGCTGCAGGGGTGGTGCCTGAGGATGGGGCAGTGTGCAGAGCCTCCTGGCCGCACCTCCACATAGGAGCCAGAGAAGGGACATGCCGCTGCTTCTGGAAGCTGCTTGAGGTAAGCGCCGCTTGAAGCCTGCACCCCCGAGCCATATTTTGCTTACCTTGGATTGGTTTATGAAGAATGATGCTTTACTGAGTATTGTAAAGGCACCTAGGAGCAGATGGACAGGGACATTTTACTAATGGGATAAAGTACAAAGTACACACAGGGGAACATGCCAGTGCTTGATTCTCTTCAGCTACTATAGCAGTTCCTACCATGGATGGATAGTATGGGTGAGCTTGAAACAAAACCTTGGCATTGAACATCCCTCTCTTGATAATGGACTGAACAAACACCTCGGCTCAGACATTTCCATACTTTTGGAAAATTCAGATGTGCCCTATGTCTAATAGAGAAAAATTGTAACCCTTTTTCCCTCTTGCCACAAGCCCCTTTCATTACTCTGTGTGGGGTTTGTTTATAAAGTATGGATGGGATTTTCAAAACACTCAGAGTTGGCCTAATTCTGCCCCCACTAAAATCTAGGCTAAAACTGCCACCAACTTCAATGGAAACAGAGTTAAGCCAGTGCTGGAAATTCCCACCCTCTGAGCTTTAATAACACGGAGGCTTTTGGTCAGGCAACCGTATAGGGTGTTTGTATCATTCAGTATTGTGCCTCGTGTGGTTTCAGAATAATTCAGTGTCACTTGTTACAGGAAAGCCTGAGTCTAGTCTTTTGTGGGGGTTCTAATGTGGTCTTATTCTGTGTTTAACCAGCAATTAGAGATGACATACAGATATTGCAAAACACAAGGAATCCCATTCCCCAAAATTGAGCTGAGTGAGGAAGACAAGAAGAATCCCAAGGAATGTTACGTGTTTTCAGAGGCAGAGAACCCCAGAGCTCCCACAGTGATCCACTTCCCATTGGTGAACAACACTTTCAAGGACTACAAGGAACCTGGTAAGTTCATTGTCAACAGGAAACAATCATTTTACTACACTTTGTGTGACCCGTCTTCCCACATCTGATTTCCCATTTGTCCTGTTCACCTCTGTTCTGTCCTCCCTGGGCTGAGTGCCTGTTTTTTTGACTGCACTCTCCAGTGACCTAACATATAACAGCAAAAGCTTTGGCAGAGCCAAGTTTGAGCAGACACGTGGAGATTGATGCAGACTAGCAAACAATGTCAGAATAAATGATGCATGTGAAAAGCGTGGAGGGGGCTGGGTTGTAATGGGGGATGGGATAAGAGAATTTTTGGCTGACTCAGCTAGAATTCTTCCAGGACTCCGGGGGGAAGAACATATTAGAGTAGCAGCTCCCCGCCTTGTAAATGGGTACATCCGCGCTGGGCCAGCTCTGCTCTCTACCTGATGCTCCCATGACCTATGGGGAGGCAAACACCACCTCTAGCACTGCTCATTCTCTGCACCAAGATTGTGCTTAAATCTCTGTAGATATTTAGCAGCAGACTGTTCCCTCAGAAGGTGTCTTGAAATTGATGCCTTAAGCCGCAAAGGACACTTTAAAGCTAGAAGGATTCAGTAGGTACCCAGTTTTCTAAACAGCTGTGGGACACCCTGAAAAAAAGCAACAGGCAATGTTCTATCTATGCCTGTGCAGACATTCCAATTGTAAACACTCTGACCTTTTAAAATAATGAATTGATTTTATTCAACCTTGGAATGATTTGCCTTTCCCAGTGAGGATGGTGAAGCCAGCCAGGCTTGAGGTTTCTAGCTGCAGCCCTTTTGAGCTCTCAGTGCAAAATTTCAAATCCGACCTGAAGCAAACTGGGTTTTTTAGATGAGTTCGCAAAGAAAAATACTCTAATCGTTAAATCGATTCTGTTCACGCTTTGCAGAAAAATTCATTTGCTTTGGGACAACTGCATGGAAAACTTTTCCCCAAAAGGAATGTTTGGAGAAAGTTATGAGCAATTAAAAAATAAGCGGTTAAGAAAAATGTCTCCACTGTTACTATAATTTCCCATGGAACACTAATACTAGTGTTAAACACAGGATAAACAGATACACTGTGACTAAATCCGGTTTAGAAACTTTACAGGTTAGTAATCAACATATTAGGAAGAAGGCTGGAGCCGGTCCATAGGGACAGAGAAAGCTTCACAGAGTAATGCACGTTCAGGCAAAGCTGTTGAAGACAGCAGAGCAGGTCAAACAGAGGCTTTCACAGTTCACTTAATGAAAAGCAGCTGAGAGTGTGTGGAAGGAATGCAGGAGTTTAGCTTCTCAGTGCCCGAGGCCCAAACCTGTGAGTTATGAGTCATACCGGTTTCCCTCCAAAGAGTAATTTATTCATAGATCTGGGCTTCAAGCTGACAGGTCAACTGTAAAAGTGTGCATTTGGGGAATGGCAGGTCTAGTGATTTCAACTTTAAAGGTGGTAATTTTCATTTCTGACTGAGTGGGAGACACCCCAGAGAGCTTTTTATTTAATCATTTGATTTTGGCTAGGTGGCCAGTTTTGAAAAGTTGGCCCTTTAAAATGAAAATCCTGCATTTGTATGTTAAAAACAAGCAGTGGCATCTACAATGTAGGTGATTGGCATAGAAAATGTGGCTCATGATGCTAGAGCACTAAAAGATTCATTTGAGGCAAAGTGTTAGCACATCACCAGAAATTCTACAGAGTATTATTCAGTATCGCTAGCCTGGAAATCAAACTTACAGGAAAAACTGACAATCCAAGTTAGAATGTGGAAGTCAGCTGATGCTTCATGAGCATAATGTAGGTGTCAATTTCACATGGGTCAGGTGGATATTGCAGATAACATCTCACATATGGCCTGTTTAGAGCCCTAGCAGAGATCGTACAAAATTAGATTGATCTGGGCAGGTTGCTTTCAGACTGCAAATAAATTAGATTCTCTTGCAAAATGAGAGGAAGGAAGCGTAACTCCAAACTCAAAAGCATAAATATTTGGTTTCTGTAGTCCTGGGATGCAGTAAACAGGATTTCCTGATATGAAGTGCTAAATAAATAATAAAACTTACCAGGAGCATTGGACTGTTGGATACTGGCACATTTGGGGCATGGTGTTAAACTGGAGAATGAAGATGTGATACCTGATGGCTGGAGGAAGGCAGATTGATATGCAGAAGACTCCCCGCCCCCTTCCACTCTTCCATGTGCGACAGGCTTGGACTCTGTTGATTTATTCTTTTCTGCCTACTGTAGCACTGCATGGATTTACCTGCTAGCAGAATTTGACCCATATGGCCTGAATTTCAGAAGTATCGAGCACCAGCAGCTCCCGCTAATTTGAGCAAGAATTGTGTGCAAGGAAGGGGCACTTGAAAATCAGGCCAGTAGTGTTCAGAAAAAGCCTATAGGCCTAATTCTGCACTCAGTGTGATGTCAAGCCAACGCATTGAAATTAATGGAATTACTTCATATTTATGCCAGTTTAACTGAGAGGGGAAAAAATTGGCCCACTGCCTCCGATGTATTTTTGTTCCTTCTCTGCTTTTGACATTGATTTGTCATCAGGTTTAAAGTCAGAGTTTGAAACGCAGACGTATTATACTTAGCTTAATCAAAAAACACCTATTTATGCCCGCAGGATATCCACAGAGTTAGAATCCCCTTTTGACCAATCAGACTGCTCCATTTATACTAGCCCTCATCTAATGACCAGTAGAACTTAACAGAAAATGGTCACTGCTATTGCTATTGAGAATGTTATGTGCGCCAAACCCACATTTTCCTGTCTTTCGTATTCAAGATTTAGCTCACAGTGGTGGCTTTTCTCTTCCTCTGCAGGGGTGAAGCGCAGTCCCTTGGAGATGAAGGATGGTGATATAAATTTGACCAACAAAAACTCACCATATTATTTTACAAAACTGGTGTACTCTGCTGAAGACTTTGACAAACTGGTAAATCTGAGTAGCTACAACATCCTCAATAACAAAGACCTGATTCTACAGTCCATCCAGAGGGCTATGGCATGGAGGAGAACCAGCATGAGTGGACGTTTACCCACCGGTTCTGAAGTTCAGTCTGCCTAGGCAGTATTTCTGCATCATCTACCTGCTGTAGGTTACAGTGTTCTGCCAATATTTTACCAGAGGCACTGCTGGTTACCTATTACATTGTATGAAGTGATACGGCATCTGTATTTCTCATCTTGTCCATTTCAAATTGTCTTAGCTGTAAACAAGTTTTATTAAAAAAATCCAGTTTTTGCAGCCATACCAACCTCAGGCTGTGTTCTTATAAGCTCCGAGGGTGGGGCCTGGTTAGTGGTTGATAGGAGACCTCCCAGGAAATCCTGGTGGTAGTTCAGTGAGTTACACTCTTCTCTCAGTGGCTGGGTCACTACAAAAAAATAATTTTCCCTCTGTTGATATTCACCCCTTCTTGTCAACTGTTGGGAATGGGCCACATCCACCCTAATTGAATTGGCCTCGTTAGCACTGACCCTTCCCCCCCCACTTGGTAAGGCAACTCCCATCTTTTCATGTGCTGGATATTTATACCTGTCTACTTTTTTTCACTCCATGCATCTGATGAAGTGGGCTTTAGCCCTCAAAAGCTTATGCCCAAATAAATTGGTTAGTCTCTAAGGTGCCACAAGGACTCCTTGTTGTTCTTACTGATACAGACTAACACGGCTACCACTCTGAAACTCTTCTCTCAGTACTGAGCCGATGCCCCCTCCCCCCCATCCCCTCATGGTGTTGCGGGAATGTTGTCGGAGGTGCGGAGTTTGGGATGATACATTACAAACAAAAGCCCTGACCACTGGCGGTCATGAAAGGCCTGATTTTCAGAGGTATGAAGCACTTAAACTCCCATTGAAATTAAAGGGATCCATATGGGCTCAGCACTGGAGACCAGGCCATACAAGAGTGAAAAGAGTTAGTGTACGTGGCCAAATTCTAATGGGAGAATTCCATTCTACCTACCTTCCCCTTGTGGCTTAGTGGGAAAAAATATTTTCCTTCCATTGCCTCAAACAAATGGGCACAGAAATGGTGTCATATTCTACCATCCAAGGTCAGATACATTTCAGTGGTGTGTGAAATAAGCTTTAGAGAGTTAGTAAAATGATTCTGAGATCCTGCTGGTGGAAACATGCTATAGTGTAAATGATTTTTATTAACTACTTTGTGTGTGGTGCTTTTAAAGAATATCCTGGGCCAAATTCAGCCCAGAAATAAGTGGCTGTAATGGAGACATGTCTGAGTCACTTTTACTAGGCCAAGAAGACATAAGTCGAGATGTTCTTATTCATTTGTACAAACTGAGCTCGGGGCAAAGTTAATACAGAATAAAGTAAGAGTAAACAGCTATGGCATTTTTTACACAGGAAATTTGTCCTTTACAAAACCATCGCCTATATCGTCTTATGCAAAGTATATTTTAATAGGTGGGATGGAGAAATATTTAACGTTTAGCCAAAATAAAAAAGGGAAAATGCTTCATACCGCTTTGCTGAAAGAAAAACAAAGAAAATCGAGTCTGGTTTTCATTTAATTATGAATACACTGAAGAATGTGACTTGGAACTAGGGGGACAGACTTCGTAACCTTTCGGTACATTAAAAGGATGTTGAAACTTTTCTGAACAGAACACAAAGCATTTACAAACCGGATCTTCAGCTGGGGCAAATCAGCATAGCGCTACAGAAGTCAAAGGAGTTACAGTGACTTAGGATCTGGTTCATACTATCTAAGAGTTTTTTCAATCCATATTTATCCTTGGTCTGCCAAGAAAAACTTACATTCCTATGTATTGTAGATGTAAGCAGGGTCTAAATTAACTGAATTAATTCTCCCCTGACAGCTAGCAGGGAAGGGGAGAGACTTTAGGAGCAAGCTGTATTTACATGAACACACCTATAGATATCCAGCAGATAGAGTGGGGTTGCTCAAAGGAATCAACTTTGGCTGATGTTAGCGGGGGGCAGGTGGCGAGGAGCAGTGACCAGTCAACTCAAGTGCTCAGATCGCGGAGCAAGCAAGGTGCCTTCTTCCTGGGGTGGGAGCAGGGCTGGTGCAAGGAAGTTTCGCGCCCTAGGCGAAACTTCCACCTTGCGCTCCCCCCCCCCCCGTCGGCAGCTCCCTCCCGCCCGGGGAGCCGTGCGGCAGCTCCCACCCCAGCTCACCTCTGCTCTGCCTCCTCCCTGAGCACGCCACCTCCGCTCTAATTCTCCTCCCCTCCCAGGCTGATTGGCGCTGCAAGCCTGGGAGGCGAGAGAAGTGGAGCGGTGACTGCGTGCTCGGGGAGGGGGGCGTAAGAACGCTGTAAAAAAAACCATTAGGGGCACCGCTTTTTGGTGCCCCCAAATCTTGGCGCCCTAGGCAATCGCCTAGTTTGCCTTAATGGTAGCACCGGCCCTTGGTGGGAGGTGAACGCACACATATGTGCCTCTGAACCAGGGCCGGCTTTAGGCCGATTCAGCCGATTCGGCTGAATTGGGCCCCGCGCCAAGAGGGCCCCGCGCTGCAGCTGTTCACCCCGCCCCCAGCTCACTTCCCCCTCCTCCCCTGCCCTGCACGCCCCGCCCCCTCCCCTGCTTCCCGCGAATCAGAGATTCGCGGGAAGTCTGAGACTAAGCAGCAGGGGAGGGCCGGCCGGCAGCACGAGGTAAGCTGGGGTGGGGGCGGGAGAAGGGCTCGGGGAGGCGCGGCCCGTTCCCGCAGGCCCCAGCA